AGTAACAGCTGCCCAAACTGAGCTTGAGCACTCCTGAATTTTGAGGTATTCAAATCTGGAAGGCAGGTGCTGGGGAGGGGGCGAGGGGGCTGTGGCTCCGCAGGGGAGCATGGCAGCATGTATGCAGCAGCGTGTCTGGCGCTGCGCGAAGCCAGACACGCTGGTCTGAGTGGCATGGTAAGGGGGCTGGGGGGTTGGAGAAGGGGTAAGGGGTTGCAAGGGGGCAGTCAAGGGACAGGGAGCGGGGGGGGTTGGATGGGGCGGAGGTTCGGGGGGGGGAGGGGGGCAGGGAGAAGGGGGGGTGAGAGGGGGGGGGGGGTCCCAGGAGGGGGCAATCAGGGGACAAGGACCAGTGGGGCTTAGATAGGGGGTGGTCCTGGGGGGCAGTTGGGGCAGGGTGCGGGGGGGGGGGGGATGGGGGGGGGGGGGGGGGGGGGGTGGGGGGGGGGGGGGGGTGTGGGGGGGGCAGTCGGAGGGAGTGGATGGTGGCAGGGTGGGGCTACCCTCCCGCCCCATGGAGTGTTCTATTTTTTGAATGTTAAAATATGGTATCCCTACCCTTCCCAGTGCAGCTCTCCATTCATAGCAGGCTGTAGCATGAGGTCTCAGCTTCCTCACTCCCTCCCCCTCTTTCCTGTTATAGGGGCCAAGGGCATGCTGGGAAATGTAGTTCTTTCCCTGCTCCAGGGCTGGCTCTATAGGCAGGGAGCTAACCAAGGGCCCGCTGTTGGTTCTCAGCTCCCATGCTGGATCCCTGCCGCCCCTGCAAATGAGCTGCCCCAAGCCCGTGCTTGCTTTGCTGGTGCCTAGAGCCGCCCCTGCAGCCAGGTGTCAACAAGATCAAGTGGACCATCATCTGATTCAGTGGCCATTCTTCCACAGGAAAGAGGGTGTAGGCAAAAAGTCTACATTTTGACAAAGAAGCACCTTAAGGTTCCTGTCCACACAGACTTTCCCAAGATGATTCTTGTGCAAGACAAAGCGCTCTTAGAGGAGAGGACAGCCACCCCCAATCATCATCCCCTTTCTCTCTACTAATGGCATCAACACTTGAAAGGAAGCAGCACTGGGCTGCGGGGAGATCCTGACTGAAGGATTCAGCCAGTGAAGACTGTTGGAACTTGTGGTGAGAGAGACCTTTGCTTAAAATTCACTTAGCTTGTTAAGTTAGATATTAGTTGCATTTTATCTTTTTATTTCTTAGTTTTTAAGTGATTACAAATAATCTTTCTCTAGTTAATACATTTGTTTTATCTAAACCGGTGTGTTTGGAAAACTTCACTTGGGACAACAGGATTTGTGTATATCATTTTCTATTAATTAAATGATTAACTTTATATGAGCTTGTAGTGTCCAGAAGGTTGCTAGGCAGTACAAGACATCCATTTCTGGGGGAAAGTCTGGGACTGGGAGTTTGCTGGTGTAATTCAAGAGTCGCTGGCTATAGCACTTCTACAATATAGCTGAGTGATTTACATGTTGGAGGCTGTGTGAGCAGACCAGGAGTGGTTGCTGTCTGTTAAGCAGTGAGAAAGGCACCCCATGTTGGAGAACTGAGCTGTCCATCAGTCCAGAATGCTCCCTGCATAATGTCACTGGGTTTTTGGTTTTAGAAAATGTTAACTTTCTAAGTAAGCAACCACAACGTTGCTGATGCTATATAATGTTGCTGAGCTCTGCTCAAGGTAGAAGGCTGCTAATTGACCTCTGCAGAGGAAGCCAAGCCGCCTTCAGTCTATTTGCTCTTGCCCAGGCTGTTTGCATAGCAGCCCAGTGCCCAGGAGGAGCTGTTCGGGGAGTGGGACGTGCGTGCAGAAGAGGACAGAGCAGTGCAGCGCGCTTTCCCCACCGCCACTACAGCAGCGGGGCAAAGGGCTGGGCACAGCCAAACGCCGGGAGCTGCTCCAGCCCCGCTCTGCTGCCGGACCGGGGCCGGCTGCAGGGAGATGGCTGGCGCCTCTCTGGCCCCGGGGCTGCCCCGCGGAGCGTCTGAAGGGCTCCGTAACCTGTAACCACCGCCTGGCAGGCGCAACACCTGCCCCCCAGGCTGCCCCCGCACCTCGTCCCTCCCCCCCATCCACCGCCCGTCTCCCCCCTGCCTCCGGGTTCACTCCCCAGCCACCGCCCGCCGGGCCCCACCTTCACTCTCTCTGTCCCCCACCTGCAGCCCCCCCCACGGTTGCGTCCCGCGGCCACCAAGGAAGTGGGAGCGCCCCTCCCTCCCCGCCGGGCAGAGTGAGCGTCAGGCTAGCGCGGGGGTGGGGCAAGGGTTATGCGCCGGGCACGCGCTGCCCCTGGCCAGCTCGCGGTGCGCAGATCTTGGTTCCGGCCTCCAGACTACATAACAGCGGCGCCTGCGGAGAGTGGTTCCGTTACTCTCCTGCTTAGGAGCCCGACACCGCCGGCCAATCAGAGCGCAGCGCCTCAGTCTCGTCAGCTTCTGAGGCCGGGGCAAGCACCCAATGGGCGGTGAGAGCGGGCGGGACCTGTCACTGTCCGCGTGAGGCCTGAGAGGAGGAGTTAAGTTCGTTGCACACGGATCCCAAACGGGGAAAGGGGCGGAGTTTGGTAGCACGTGACGAATGTTGGGTTT